ATTTATCTATTTACTCTGTATTTGCTGAGTTACGTGCATAGAGTTGTTTGTAGTAATCTCTGATAGTGGTTTGTATTTCCCTGGCTTTGGTTGTGATGTCCCCTTTATCGTTTTTTATTGCATACATTTGATTCTTTTCTCTTTTCTTTTTTATTAGTCTGGCTAGAGGTCTTCCATAAAAGCAGTAGAAGACAATGCACAAAACAAAATAACAGCCAGAGCAAAAATAATTTTTCCTGGTCACTTCTTTCATTGTACATTTCCCAACACTCAATAACTAACAGGATCTGTCATTTCTGCATCAAAGATATCTCTTTGCCTTTTCATCTAGCCATGTCCTCCGCTAATACACCAGTTGAGGACACGATCATCTTTCTTTCAGATTATTGTAATAACCTCCTCTGAAATGACTTTTCTCTCATTCATTCTTCAGATGTGAGTTAGGCTCACCCTTTATAAGCTTATTTATTTATTTAGTGTAAGCTAATTTGAAATGTGTTTTGCTTCTTGCAATCAGAATATTATGATAAAAAAACTTTTAAAAAGTAACATCTACATTAAATTATTAATTTTTGTGGGTACATAGCAGGTGTATATATTTATGGGTTACATAAATTATTTTGATATAGGCATGCATTATGTTTAATTACATCAGGTAAATGGAGTATACATCACTTCCTGCACTTATCCTTTGTTACAAACAACCCAGTAATACTGTTTCAGTTATTTTCAAATGTACAGTTAAATTATTCTTGACCATAGTTTTTTGAGAGCAGAAATATGTTTTATAGCGAGTCTGTCTCATACAGTCCACTCACTTTGTAGAAAATTTCTCTTTTCCTCAGATTTGAGTTGCTAAAAAATAGCCATGTAAAATCTAGGTTTGTTCACACTAAGTGCTTTTCTTTTTCTCTTTAACAAAAACCTGTGTTTTTTTTTTTTCTTTTTTGGCAAGAACCAGTATTATTCAATTTACAACTTTCTATAGAATCAACCTAGTTGATATAATTCTTTGTAGTTTTAGTGGGTTATGGGTCAAAAATAGGAATGTATTTATGTATTTACCATATGTTTGATGGTAAATTAGTGGTTTCAATTCCTCATTATATCTATAAATCAGATCATTACATAAACAAATTAATTGAATTATCAAATGCAACATAATTTCTTCTGATCCAAGCAATTTGGGGATGATCCTACTATTAAATATTATCAGGAAGAATATTAAGAGGGTAGACAAGTAGTGGTTGGACTGCTCTCAAAATGTGAATTATCTGCACATTTGGAAATGTTTCAGAAATTTAATTTCCATCTTCCACTTCAGTGTGTATGGCAGCAAATATTAATTCACCCTATACTACTCCTAGCATTATAAAGAACAAAACAACAGCATATGCAGTATTTCTGTAGAATTGTCATCTACTTGGAAATATAGAGAATAGTATTTTAGATGTCTACAGCTTTTGGAAGGTGACATTTTTGCCTTATCTGGTATACATTGCCTTTAGTTAATTTCTTTGGTCAAATAAAAGATTCTTTGATTTTCCTTTATGAAAGTTGCCAGAAAATTTTCCAAGTCTAAAATCGAAATTTTCTTAAATTATTTAGAATTCTCTAATTATTAGTTTTATTATTTTTTTTTCAATGACAGACACCTCGGGCTCCAATATTCTTTCCCCATTCAATTTATATCAGTTGTTATTTAGCATAGGTCAATGATTTAGTTCAGATCATTTCTTTTGCCTCTGTAACATGGTACTTAAATTCTAATTTAACTTTTCTACGTATGTTTACATTTCATTCTCAGTTAGTAGTATACTGTTTAGGTTAAGCGTTGTGTTAGACAACATGTGTAGGAAAACATGCTGGACCTATTGTCAGAAATCCCAGGTTCAAGTCCCAATTTTGACACTATCTTTCTGAACTTGGGCGAATAGCAATCTCTCCGGCATCTGTTTTCCAGTGAGCTACCTTATTTTTCATTATGTGTGTTAAGTGAAATATAGTGAGATCCCTTTGTAAGCTCTAGAGAGCCCTAGAGATATAAGGTGCTTTTTTTCTCTTTTGTGGACCTGTCAACACAGTGTAGAAAAAGAGCTCAGATATTGATAAATAAAGAATTTTTCAAGGCTTAATGAAAATAAAAAAGAATTCACTATATTCCAAAGGATGCACTGAGTTTCTACACTACTCATAGATATTATTTAAAGTAATTAATTCCCGCTATCAAGTGGTCATAGAGCATGAACAAGAATAGAATATGATAAGGTTTCAGAGTATTACATTTTCTTCACAGAATTTCAACATGTTTCCAAATGTCTAAGTTGTTGTGAAGAATTCATTTAAACATCAGATAACTTTTACTCTTTTCCTTTCATATAGAAATGGGATCTTAATGTGACATACATTTGTGTTTGAAATTGAGCCATAATCTAAATAAACAGTGTCCTCAGTTTTATCCAAATAAAAATTATTTTCTCTTCTGGGGAAGGTAATTAATTAGATGAAAATAATTTTTTTCAAGACATTTACTTAAACACACATGTCATACCCACTTAAATACTTACTTATCTTCATGATTTTAGAAATTCAGCCTATGTAATTTTTCATCCAGAGCTCAAAGGACATTTGCTAACTGAATTTAGAGCTCTATAATAAGGAAGTAGCTTAGTTACAACTAAACAAAAAAGGATGAATTGCTTTTCTCTGTAGTGAATAATAGTCATGTTAACCACTGAAAATAAATGAAAATGATTTCAACTCCAGAAACTGGCTGATCTTTGAAGCTAGGTAGGGTGTATAGAAATAATACTGTCAGCAATTTTGGCCTCATGTACCTTTCCCATGATGCATTTACAATCTGTACATCTCATTTATCAGCTGTTGTTGCAACTATACTTTCAGATTTTATATAAACCAAAACATATAATCTAAGAAATAAACATGAAAAGAATTCATTTCATTACTTTAATGTAGAATCAAATGTATTTTTAAAAAAAATCACAGTAGAAATATAGCATATGCTTTCTTAATGCAAAGATGAGATTTTCTTTTACTTTAAGCAGATTTTCAAATCATATAAAATAAAATTTCTTATTAATGGCATATTATGGAAAATCTAAATAGTGCATGCAAAATACAACCTTTTCTAAATTATGACTCAGTATTGCTTGACAGATTAGTCAGTCACAACATGATTTGATTCTCTGCTTGTTTGAGCTCAATGTGATTTCAGAACCTGAACTAAGTAATTAAAATCTACCTTATCTCACGAAGTCAGTGGGAGAGGCTCATTATGAATCCAGAAACAGACTTATGGGCCTGTGGTCATGCATCAGAAAGAAGAGCCGAGATTGTGTTTATGCCTTCAGAAAGTTTAGTCATCCATCTTTGGAGTTTCAGCACCTGGAACAGTCGTCTCCTGACTGGTGGCAGAAAGGGACTGAAAAATTCAATGAGGGCTGTAGTTAGTTTTCAAAAACACCATTTCTGTATTATCCAGCCAATTTACTAAAGGATGAGGTAAAATATAGAAAAATCTATCAGATTATTAATTAGATGATATTCTAGCTTGCTTTAGGATCTTACACTAATACAGACTTGGTTTGTAGGCAGGATTTTTACTTAGTAGCCAAAGGACTTGCCCTATATCTTATCCAACTCTTTTTCACTCTCCAGCAACTTCTGCTCATTTTCTTTGTAAAATGTTTGTATAATATTGAGTAAAGGAAAAGCAAAAAAAAAAGTCCACTTTATTGTCAGAACTTGGGGGAAAGACTTTTCATGTGGATGTGTAAGATATTGTCATAAATAAGTTTTCAGCCACATATTTATTTTTACTCTCTCTATTTCTCATATATACAGAATTAACCTTTTTAATGAAACTATGTTTCTAAGGCCAGTAACAATTAGTGTCAATTCATATTCATTTGGTCATTCAGGTTCATTTTACAAATATTTATTTGGCATCTCTGTACTGAGTACACTTCTGTGTATGGGGATTAAAAGAGATAAATACAACTGTTAAAATTCCTGCACTCATGTGTGAGTCTAGTGGGAAAGCAGGCATTAAAAATCCTAAGACAAAAACTATATAGTTGTGATACCTATGAAAAAGGAAATATGCAAGCTATCATTAGAGTACATAAGCACTGGGGACAAACACTTGATGAGGTTTGAAATTGGTCAGGAGACACTTATAAGAAGAGATGCCTTGATTTCTTGCCTGCCTGTCAGTTATAATCTCAGAAATGGAATTTACATACTAACTCAGTTTTCTTTTTCTACAAACTATATCCTGTACAGTGGCCAGCATGATCTTTGCCATGTTTAAATATGATCATGCTTGCCTCCTGATTGATTCCCTTCAGCAGCTTCACAGCTCTTTAAGACTGAAATCCTTGTTAGGAATAATTTGAAACCGTCATGTCTGCATCTCTCGCTCTCTTTGGCACCTCATTTCTTTTATGTTGCCTTCGTTCTCAGACATACTCTTGTCATGTGGGGGCAAAGGCAGGCTCCCTAAAGATTTGTGTTTATGCATTCCTAACAGTCCTTCATCTTAGTTCCCCAAATTGCATGGAGCACAGGAAAGAGGCTGCCAAAAGAAAGTTATGAACAACAAGTAACACATACTCTAGCTGTATAATTAAAATAAAATTATTCTGTATATAGTGTGTTTCCAACTGTCACTAATGCTCTCTATATTTAAAAAACTATATTTAAACAAGTATGTGAAGTAATTTGTTGCAGTGAATTCCCACATATTGAGATAATTTTAAACCTTCATGGAGATATTAGGACTGAGGTTGGAAGTTTGTGAGAAAAATTATTTTATACTCTATGGTCTAGTTCTAGGAAATGAAGGAATTTAAATGATACTGTGAACTTTAATAATATTAAATACAGTTAACATTATTCATTACCTACTATATTCCACAAACTTTATTAGCTTGAAATTCTTTTCATAAGTTTCTTTCTCCCTTTTTCTTCCTTTTTAGTTTTTGATGAGAACTGTGGAGAATTTCAAGCTTTCTAAGATATAACATGAAGCATTTCTTCTTAAAGCATGTGAGTTTTGTTTATTGATAATGTGATATTGCAGCATAAAATTTATATTAGGCAAACCCCATCACAGGGCTGCTTTTCCTTTTGTCTTATATAGCTTCTATGTGGTTCTTTCACTAATGTCCCAGAGGAAAAACAAAGCCAAAATCTTATCTCCAATATCAAGATCATGGCATGTGTAGCAGGTCAAGCATGGGAAAATGCAAATCATTTGAAGGCTATAAAGATTACAATAATAAGTTATGTATGTTTGTAAGCCATTGATCTATAACTGAACAGAGTGTATTGTTGGCTTTAAACTAGAAAGGTTATGAGTCAAATGTGATTAATGCTGTAGCATGGTTATGTACTTTGAGATTACTGAGTAGCTATGTATGTTTCCTGATAGATAAGGTAGGTATATTCCCTAAAAATATTTCATTAAGAAGTTTAGGACTCACTCGGTTATTCACCTTTGAATTACATATGGCATATCTATATTTACATATATATTTGTTTCATTTTGTTGTGTTTTGTTTTAGATGCATAAATTTGTGATTTCCAGGAAAATTGTGTTGCTTTTCATGCCTTCATTATTTTTATGATTATATTTATTTCTGTAAGTGAGATTTCAAAATGCTGAAATAATTGGCCATCCAACAGTTAAAATCCTTTAGTGGTAAAATGATGGAAATCCTGGATAACTGTGACTATTCTTTATGTCATTTTTTTTCTTAAAATCTATATTAACAAAATGCCTTGATTTAGAATTAGCATGAGGTAATACATAAGCTTATTCCCCATCTTTCAGTATCTTAAATAGTTTAAATTGATGTCATATTTAAAGACAAAATTTCCACAAGAAGAGACACTTTGAATACAGAAAATTCTCAAAAATGCCTCTCTCAATCAAGTTCCATCTTGTGATACTTTTGTAAGTTATTTTGAGGCAAAATAACAAAGTCACTGTTATTTACATTTATTGTTAAGCTGTTAATCTCCTTAATGTTTTGATATGCACAATTGATTTTATTTTCACAATATGTCCCTTAGATAAATACAATAATTATTCCAATAATTAATTATAGGTGAGGTATATGAATCCTTATTCTACAATAGAACAGTTAATTTGAAAGGGACTGGAATCCAAAACTTTTTCTTTCTGACCAGACTCTACACTTTTCTTGATAAATTACAGATCAGAGAACAGCCCAGTTTATGTGGCCCAGAGCTTTGCCTAGAAATCACATTACAATACTGGATTTTTATTGGAATATTGTTTGGTTATTTATTCTATTTGGCTAAACTGCCAGGTATACAAAATTCCCCATAATGTGCTGTAGAGTAATATTGCTTGTCACTTTAAACATAGATAAAACTCTCAAAGCCTCCCTTGGATTCCCCGAGAATATCCATGTGTATTTGGAATTGTATAGGAAAATGCAACTGAAGAGTTTCTCTGCAGTGGCCTTGATGAATATGTTCCTGCGATGAAGAAATTAGCCAGCTGTCTGAGAAATAAAGAGATTGCAAAATTTTTACCAGTTCTTGAATTCACTGGCTTTCTCAACAGTTTGTAATAAGATCTGAAGATGACTTTCAGTGAAATTAAGATGATCCTTTTTGATCTATGTCAGGGGTTCTCAACCTCAGCACTATTAACATTTCGAACAGATAATGATGTGATATGAGGAGGGCTGACCTGTGCAATGTAGGATGATTCACAGCATCCATGGCCTCTACCCATTAGATGCCAGTCTCAGCCCCCTATTATGACAAACAGTATCTCCAGGTGTTGCCAATGTCTCATGGAAGTGGGCCAAATAGTTCCCAGTTGAAAACCACTGGTTAAGATGTAAACACTTCCCATAAAGAAAAATTTTCTCCTTATTATATGGAATATAAACAAATGTCTAGCCTTTCTCTGAATAATGAGTTATCTTCATTTTGTTGTGGTTGAAGGGAAATTCCTAAGTGACCACTATGTGCTTTCTTTTAGAATCATTAACTACACTGCTCTCTCAAGCCAATTATTATCACATAAAATGTTTTCAAGGCCTGTGTGAGTGTTCAAAGGTCACATTCGTAGTGAAATGGCAAATCTTTTTATCTGAGAACTCAGTAAATAAAAAGCTACTGTTCAAGGGTAAGAAGCAGCCACAAACTATTTTTTTCCCCAATAAATCTACCCTTCCCTACAATCTCAGACACTGTATTGAGACAGGGATGCCAGCTTAAAAGACTAATTATTCAAAAGGCTCATTATATTATCTCTTTGTCTTACCATTGGGCCTTGGTTGAAGCTATTCTGGACCACTCCTCCAGATTTTCTAACTTCCAGTCTCAAAGATCAGGATATCAGGCATCATTTCTTTTTCTCTCACAGACTCTCACCTTCTTAGGCATATAAGTTCACTTTTTCTGAGAAATCAACTTGGAATATCAAGAAGTGAAATAGATTGGCTAAGGTACTCAAAACATAACAACTGGTACCCATTTCTCTACATTTTCATAACTAAGGCATCTGAATAACGTTTTTAGAGGCAAAAGTATCTTCAAGGTGACTCTCCATCCATTTCTGTATTATAAAGTAGGTGCCAGCTTCTGTTTCCAAAAGACAACTAATCTCCTAAGCTAAATAGTCAGGAATTTTTGCTATCAGTTATTCTACCAGACAGTGATGTAATCTCCTTGCAAATGCAATCTGTTTTTCTGATGAATTGCCAATGTTTGGTGGCCACAGACGGAGGTGGGGACAGGGAAGAAAACCCCATAGGCATAGGTGTCCTTGTTTGAGGATGTCATTAAGAAGTCCATTCTGGTTCACGGCCATATGCTTCGTTGTTGCCTTTGTACAAGGCCAGTCCACTCATTTGTGTTTGGTGGTACAAAGAGATATTTTTGTTGTTGAGTACAATTGCCTCCATTTAGAAGTACTTAAAATGAGCACATGCACTTTCTGGAAAGCTATTTCACTTTCATTTTATTAAATGATTTATTGGATGGCTCCCAAAATGATTACCTAGAAATGTCAGGTAAAGGTTAATTCAATACCATGGAGCAGAGTGGTGTTAGACTTGTGTGGTATGAGGCTGATTACAGCATTTGCCTTAGGAAAGGAAAGGGAATAATTTAGTGTAACACCATGGGTACCTGATATTATTTTTCAATTTACCTGTTGATCAAGAAATACATTTCTGAGTGTCTTTTCCATCTCAGAAGAAGTGGAAATATTTTTGAAAAAATGGTCTCACTTCACTATTTGAAAATATGTATTGAAATAATTTAGGAATATTTTTCATTTCTACTGAAACACTGTCTTCATATAAGATTATACTATGGAAAAAAGAAGAGGCATGATATGGGAGACAAGGGGAAGTGCATTTTGGCAGATATATTTTTATGTAAAATTTGTGAGGTCTGGAAACTCTGAATTAGAAAGTGTGAGTTTGATTACTGGCTCCATGGTCTCTGTACTAAATAGACGACATTAGGACAGTTCATCTTCTTAAGCTTTAGTTTCCTCATCTGGAATATAGAAAATGCAGAACACAGTTTACTTCACACAAACATGCTCAGTCCACACATTTTCTTGTTCAAGAAACATTCACTGAGCACCAGCTGTGTCCCAGGAATGGTTTTAAGCTCTGGAAACTTTTAGAGTGAGCTGAAACAAGCCCATTCTGCTGCCTTCATGGAGCCTGTGAGTTGGGGGGTTTGTGAGCTTTGTTAGAAAGACAGCTATGAATTAAGTAATCATATAAACATGTGTGAAATGTTAACTGTGATAATAGCTGTCAAATAAAACAATGCAGTGTTATAACTTTGAGATATATCCTGAGTCTGAGAGAGCAGGAAACTTCCTTGAGAAAGTGACAGTACAGCTAGATCCCAAAGATGAATAGAAGTTAACTAAGTATAATGGTCTGCATATTTGTATCCCCTGAAAACTCATATGTTGAAATATACTCACCATTGTGATAGTATTGGTAGGTGGGGAATTTGAGAAGTGATTAGATTATAAGGTGCTCTCATGGTCGGGATTAGTGCCCCTAGAAAAGAGGCCTTAGGGACCTGCCTTGCCCCTTCTACCCTGCAAGCACACAGCATGAAGACACTTTCTCTCTTTGAATGAGAAAGTGGGCCTTCTCCAGATATTGAATTTGTTAGGGTCTTGATCCTGAATTTCGTTGCTTCCAGAACTGTGAGCAAGCTACCCAGTCTCGGCTATTTGTTATAGCAGTCCAAATGACCTAAGACACTAAGGGATGGTGGGGAAAAAAGGGGAGAGTAATGTAGGCAAAGACCCTGTATCAATAGAGAGCGTCAGAGAAAAGTAGTGAAGGCCAGGGTGGTTGATGCCTCAGGAATGAGAGAGAAGCGTAATGGTTAGTGCAACTGCTGGGGGCCATGCTTGCCCTAAAAAGCGTGTAGGGCTTTTTAGACCATATTGTGGATTCTGTTGTTTTTTTTTTTATTTAATATTTTTGAGAAGCCACTAAATAATTCTAAGAAGAATGAAGTGGTGGTGGTGGAGATATAAGTATGTTGTATTTTGAACTCTGATTACAGTGAAGAAGATGGGGGGACGGGATGGATCCTGCAGTAGGATAAGTGAGGGCTGAGGACACCTTGGGTTAGGGAGACAGTAGAGGGGAGGGGAAAAGGTTAATAGCATTGAGAAGGTAAAATCAATATATATATTAGCTATAATTATTGTTGTGGCTATGGTTCTTATGCCATGTGATCAAACTACTGATGCTCTTCCTTTTGAGTTGGAACCAATTGCTTTTTCAGGCTTAATGATATGGTTTGATTCTGTGTCCCCACCCAAATCTCATCTCAAATTGTAATCCCCATGTGTCCAGGGAGGGACCTGGTGGGAGGTGATTGGATCACGGGGGAAGATTTTCCCCATGCTGTTCTTGTGATAGTGAGTTCTCATGAGATTTGATGGTTTAAAAGTGTGGCACTTTCTCTTCATTCTCTCCCTCACCTGCAACTATGTGAGATGTGCTTGCTTCCCTTTGCCTTCTGCCATGATTGTACGTTTCTTGAGACCTCCTAGCCATGTTTCCTGTTAAGCCTATGGAACCATAAGTCAATTAAACCTCCTTTCCTTATAAATTACACAGTCTCAGATTGTTCTTTATAGCAATGTGAGAACAAACTAATACACTTAGAAAAATTTGATGCCAATGTATAACCCCCTTCTTCACATATTTATTATTTGATAATCATCATCTTTAAGGAAAAATCTCCACCCAGTAAGTTGAGACCCTCTAGTGGACTCTGAGAGATCCAGTAGGAGATCTTAAGTTTCCCTGAACACTTCAGTCTCCTTGTGAATTCTAGGGTTTCCAACAAGAACGGTGCACCTCTGCTGAGAAGATCCATGGGAAGCTTAACCATCAGTTGTCCTAAATTGCCATGTTTTCGATCTAGGTTCCCATTTTTTTGGTGATAAGTTATAGATTTAAAATTTTTCATTTTCTCCTATGTTACTTGAAGGGCAAAAAAAAAATCACATTGCATGGAATTGGCAATCTGGTGCATAGCAATGACTAAGTCTCTATTCTTGGTTACTTGACTCCCTTTAATCCTCATTTGGAGTTCTGACAGTTAGTGTATAAACTTGAACTCACTTCTTTTTCCTGACTGTATTCAAGTTGTTGTACTAGGAAGACGGGGACAGAAGTATCTACGTACTCAAGAATATTTTGAAGTTAAAACATTATGTTCATTTCTATGAATATTTTCATGTCAAACATTTATTTATTCCACAGATTTTAAGCATATATTAAGTGCCTGCAACTATTGAGTAAAGAAACAGATACAAACACAAAATATATCTGTTCTTTTGGTATTTGTACTCTGATTAGGATGGGATGGAGTGGGGTTGAGACTGTGATATCTTCCTAAAATTCAGTCCAGCCAGCCCATGCCCTGGCCCTGATATATAAAAGGAATGCACTCCGGTCTGACCTGACACATCTCTCACTACTGGCCAAGGAGTGGCTACTTTCTCCTCTCCGGAGATCACGATCTAAGCAAATGGCACTTGAATTCCCTGTCCAAACAACTTCAAGCCCATACTTTTAGGGAGTGCACAGGCCTATTTCCTGGGTCCATTTGCACAAGACAAAGTATACCACTGTTTTACTCCCTTCTATGTCTGAGGAGTAGCCAGGGGAATTATAGTTTACCTGGGGTATGAGATGGACACTGTAGATGGAACATGGATAAATGCACTGGCGTGTCTCACATATGAACATGAGACCCATTCCTATATGAGACAATGTCAAGGGTGGGAGGAAAAAGGGGTTGTGGTATGGGTGAGGGTTGATTTCCTTCTCTAATGCTGTTATATTCTGGTATAGAACACCAAGTAGTCAAAAGTTCTACATTTGAACTTGGCCTTTCGTTACCAACCCATTTTTCTCAAGGTAGGAAGGTAAAATGTATTTTACTTAGCAGTTTTATCACTTGATTTCTAAACTTCTAAATATTTAAACATGCATTAGTAGGCCTTAAAAATCTTAGGAGAAGGTTTATTAGATAGTTGTTTAATCAATAGGTGAGGAAATACCTGAAGACAATCATTATAGACAGTGATAAATGTATGAATGTAATAAGTCAGGGAGATGTGACCGTGACCTCCGGAAATAGCAGCTGTATTAGACTGGTTGCTGAAGAAACTTCTTTTTGAACAAGCAGCAGATAAATGAGGTGAATAAGAAGGCATTCATTAGAAAGATCTTAGTGCAGGTCATTTCTGTGAATGGAAAAAGATGTAACGGGTCTAAGGAAGAGAGGCACTTGGTGCATCCCGTAGAAATAGTGCCAATAAAAAGAAGGAGAGTGCAATTGGAGTATAGTAAACCTAAGTACCTAGTATATCTTGGAGTTAGAGAAGTCTGCAGGAGCCAGATCCTATAGGACCTTGAAAATAACAGTTTAAAATATGGATCGATTCCAAATACAGTTTAAAGCACTGGAACATTTTACACAGCAGGGCAGTGTGTTATGATTTATGTTTTACAATGATCACTCTGGCCATCCAGTAGCAAATAAGTAGTAGAGACATAGTAACAGAAATAAGAAAATCATATAAAAGACTATTGCAATGGTCCAAGTTAATGTTGATAGTGGCTTGGATTATGTTTCTGGTACTCTGCCAGGCATTTGGTGTGAAAATGTTTTGATTTAATATGTAAGAACTTTTCTATGACTCCAGCCTGAGTGACAGAGTGAGACCATGTCTCTAAAAAGAAAATACATAAAATATAGAACATAACTATTATATTGAGTTTTATGGAAACTTCTAGCAACTAATTACATGTAGAATTCCTTTAGGGACAACACTGTTGAGCCCATGCCTCAGCAGGCTGACTATTCGTTCAGTAGTCTTCCTCTTTCAGACAGCACCACTGTGCCCCCTCCACATGTGATGCTAACAACATCAGAAAGTCAAACCAAATTATTTAAAATACTATTTGAAGATGAAATATAGCAAACTACAGTTTGAATTCTGTGGTGGGTCACCTCTTAAGGCTCAGACTGAGTTCTGTGGTGGGTTACCTCTTAAGAGCTGAAAGTGGAAAATGGTTAGAAGGGAACAGGAAAAAGTGTGGGGAAATAGCACAAATTTATTCCACTGTCATGTCAGATGAAATTAAAGTTGAAATCCTTGGCTTATTCATAAAACTGTGGTGTATCATGTGAAGTCTTTGCATAATGAATGACTAAGCAATGTTTTCAGTTTATGCTGTTGAATTATTAACAGATATGGTGGAGTTTACAAATACCAGAAAGTTCAGTTTACCCAACAGGTATTTCTTGAAGGACCACTGTACATAGATTAAACCAGGAAACAGGAGGAAATTTTAATTCTTGACTTAGAAGTCCTAGAGGACTAGAGGAGGCCACAATTTAGTAATGGCTTTGATTTTTAAATCTTTACAGCCTACTTTTTGATTGTTGGTTTGCAGGTTTTCTTTGTTTGTTTTTATTTGCCCACTTTATTTCCCTTGATACTGTCTTCTTTATATGCAAACTTTCAACAAAAGGAGTCTTTGTGAATTGCAGTATTTTCTTTAACACAGCCCCATTCCCATGGATGTCTTTATTATTTAGCGAAATTGTTATTATCCCCTAAATTTTTGTCCAGAGGGTAAATTGCTCCTTAGGTTCTTTTAATGTTCTAATCACCATGAAATGTAATGAACCTGCCTCTGGTCTTATCTTTTGTTCAAAGTAGCTAGGTACCATTAAACTAGATCTTGATTTTGTGATCAAATGGCAAAAGCACTTTCTTAGTAAAAGGAATATATTGTCTGCCATGTGGGTGTCATTTAAAAATAACAAAATACATTTTTTTTGCACCGTGACTTCCATCGTGCTTATGATATCCTTATTAGAAATGATAATTCCTTTTGCTTTGAAATGATTTTTCCTTGACTTTTTTACACTTGCACAAAATTTATATTTCCATATGGCTTTTATAAAAATACCTTTCTGATGCTCACATTGTCACTAATAATGTGAATGATAATCAAGATATACAACATATGTAACTATATACATGAAGGGATTATCTACATGATTTTATGTCACCTTCACAACAACCTATAAAGTATGCATAACATAGATTTTGCAAAATCTGCATTTTTATAAAACTGGCATTGTTTGTTCACTGTCTTTATAAAAATCCCCACTATAACGTAAGCACGGTGAAGTCAAGGATTTTGTCTGTTTCCCTGTTATTCTTCAGTGCTTGCCTGATGCCAGATCCAAAGGTGATATTTAACCTGACTTTCTAAATACATGACAGTCAGAGATTAAATGGCTTGCCTGCAGTAACACAACTACTGTAAAGGAGTCCTGCTCCAAAGACTGTTCCTAGTGAGCTTTATACGTAGTTTCAAGAGGGACATTCATAGTCCTGCTGGATTTATCTAATAATGGTGGAGCTAAAGATCTAATACATTTTATATTATCTAATTTGGCAGAATGTTTTATTCTAGATAAATAGCATCAGATTCTTATTAAACACAAATGACTTGCTGTAGGGCTTTTCTTCTTCATGTTCCAATTTAGTCCTAACGGAAGTAACTGAGTGATGAATGTCAACTTCCCCTTTCTCAGATAACCCATATAAAGTTATGTTTTTCATAGGCTATGTAATTAAAGTCTTCCTATCCTACCATAAATGAGTTTAGACATAGTTAATTCTCCTTTCTGGGGAAATTATTGATCTTTCCGTCATTTTTTGAATGACAAACATTGGGTGATTTCACATTTCCTGCTGCAGTGAGTTTCAGCTCCTCCTCTGAGCATTCAAGATGCTTGCTTTTCTTACACTCTCTTCTAAACATTGAAACCCAGTTATATCTTCAGTCCTGACTTCTAGAAAATTCTACTGATATTGAGGAAAAAGAAAAAAGGAATTAGGCAGATATATTCTAAACATTGAAACCCAGTTATATCTTCAGTCCTGACTTCTAGAAAATTCTACCGATATTGAGGAAAAAGAAAAAAGGAATTAGGCAGATAGCTAGCACAAGTCCTTGGTAGAATTCCTTTTTTTCTAACAAAGGAACAGCTTAAAAGATCAGGCCGCAAGCATAGAAAAGGAGGCAAGGTCCACTATACAGATGCTTTCTGTGTAAGTTTACTAGGAAGGGTCACAGATACCTGTGTTAGGCTTCAGTGAGCGCATTCCTTTCCTTTTCTGGACATACTCAGATAAGGGTGCTTGCACAGGGGAGGGGGAAGGGAGGTTTGCATGAAACGTGCCTAAGAGGAGTAACACAAAACCCAGCACGTTCACAATGGAGAATCCCACCCTTACACATATGCAGTAA